AGTGGGAGAGTCACAGAGTCTGACTAGTGGCCACGGGCTGGTAGGAGGTGCTTAGGGCTCTATTTCCTCCAGCCAGCCAAGGAAAATAGAGAAAGGATTCTCACCCATGGCAGTCACAGCCCCCTGGGTGCCAAATCAGGTCCCAGGTGTTCTCACCACCTTCCTGAATCTAGGGACAGAGGTCTCGAGCCATTCTCTGGGCCATCTGCTGCTGCCTGCTCCAGGAAACCACCTCCAGCAGAGCCCGGATGTGGGCTATGCCTGTGAGTGTCAGTGCCCAAACTTTGCGAGGAATCGGGGGCCTCAGGCTGCCCAGATCCACACATGTGCCCGCAGATTCCTGTCAGTATCAACCTCAGTGGTGCCACGATGCTTGGGGACCGGGATACTTTAGGGTGCGGTCATATGTGAGGACAGGGGACCAGGTAGGACAAAGGGTCTCGCCAATGTGTAGGTGCTTGGTGTTCGGAATTGGAGTGGGGTGCTCACTAAGTATCTCCTGTGCTCCCCTCATCTTGCTGAGGTTGACACAGCTTGCCTGGCTGATTGCCTCCCGCCGTGGTCACTAATGACCCTTGGGGTTGCTTGGTTACCCAGCGCCTGGGAACTTTCTCCCCTAAGTGTGATCTGAAGCCCAGCAACGTCCTCATCGCCCGGAGCTGCTTAGAGATGCAGAGCTCTGTTGTCACCCCAGACCTAGCAAACCAGAACTGGCATTTTAGCAAGGTCTCCAGGTTAATTGCACACACTTTAGATGTTGAGAAACTCTGGGTCAGCCAGGTGGTGTGGTGGCTGAGGCAGATGAGTCCCATATGGCCAACTGCATGGTTCGAGTCCTAGACCCAGAGGCTTGAAAAACACACCTGGCATGTATACATAACATGCATGCCTAAAATCCTGAGAGGACGGTGAAGGAGAAGGGATTGAGGTGTGGCCTTCCCCCTGGGGGTGATTTCTCACTTTCTCTCTCTCCCTCTCTCTCTGGCAAGTGCACACACCCTATAGCAAATTAAGAAGAAAGTTTGAGAACTCTTCCCTAGGACCCAGATTGTGCAGGGGCCTAGAGTCACTGCAGACAGCTGCTCTGGGATCTAGAAGTGTGTCTTCAGACACCATGTGGGTGACAACGCGCGCATAGCCTCGGCGTGGCTGGCTCTGGGTGTGACCTGCTGCTCCAGGAGCTTTTTCATCCCTTCCACAAAAGCCACCAGATGCGCACAGTGGACGTGACGTGCCCTCTGTCCTGCTGCCTGCACTTGGAGCTGTTCCTCTGCGGTTTTCCATCTTGGGCATTGCCCTTGACAGATGCTTAGGAGTTTAGAAACTGCCCCAGAGGACACCTCTGAGTGCATCTTTTTGGCTCCCAGAGGGACTGACAGTCTCGCCCAGCACACAGAACCTCTGCCAAAGAAGTGGGAGGAGCACCCCTTGCAGAGGGAAGCTGTGGTTGGCATCAGAGACTTACACCCACAAAGACTGCCAAGATCGTGCAGCCCGATCCAGGCCTGGCGGGAGAGCCTAAATCCTGCCCACTCTGGCCCTTCCTTTTTAAAGACATGGTGTTGACTCGCTTCGTCCATTGTAAAGTGATCATGCTTATTCTCGAAAATATGCAAATATGCAAAAATAAAAATTCATCAGTAAGTAGTTTTGTCACTCAAAGATAATCACTGTTTACACTTTGGGAAGTAATTTCTTTAGTTTTGATTTGTATAGTTGTATACCGTATGTCCATTTTTAAAGCATGGTTGCAATTATGTTGTGTCTCTGTAGTTACTCATACACGGTATTTAAGGATTATTGTATATTTTTTGTTTAACCTTATAAGAATTTTTATTCTTTCATTTAATATGTCAGACACCCCATTAGCTTCTGGGGTCACTGTGATGTGAGAGACACTGTCCCTGCTCTGTGGAGCGAGGCCGGTGACCAGATGCACCCTGTGTCCTCAGTGATCGCCGTGGCCACGTGTGGAGACGGCTCTAGCCCCAGCCTTGGAATCCTGTGATGGACAGCTATGCAGGGGCTTGACCTGATTCAGGGGTCATTCCCTCACGGGAACTTTCCAGAGGTGGAATTAGCAGCCAAAGGACATAGACGTTTTCCAAGGCTCCTGATGCAGCTGCCAAGCCGGTCTCCCCGGGCCCAGGATGGTGTGTGCTCCCGAAGCAGCGGCGTTTTGCTGTGCCCGGCCGCTGTTGAGGGTCTGTCATTAATAAAAACTCACGAGCCACCTGGACTGGAGGCGTCTCGTCTCTGCCCCCAGGCCCCCTCATTCACCGAGGCCAGCTGACCGTGTCCCTCGGTGAATCCTTCAGGGCCCCTCGTGGCTTTTAGGGTTGCATGTATGTGATCACCCACCTGGGCACCATTAATGATCACACTGGGACAACAGGCGAAGCCACCCTGGGAACCTGGAACATGCGGCTGTCCTGCTGTAGGTGGACCCAGTCCCTTTTCAGGAGCTTGGACTCAGCACTCTTCACCACGTGGCCCCACGTCGCCATGTCGGTCTTTGCATCCTGACCACGTCACACGGTCCTAGCACAACTCCAGTCCCCTGCGTGCTGGGCTCTCCTGTCCCCGTACATTCGCTCCTGCCACTTCCCCCTCCGGGCCACCCCACGCCCTTCCCACCCACGCCCTTCCCCTACGGGCTGTAATGCCCCTTCGAGGCGGCACTAAACCTTCCCCTTCCTTCGAAACACAAGTCAGACGACAGCCTTCATTGGTGCTTTCGTTCAGCAAATATTTACTGACTGCTTCCTACGTTCCAGGTACCTGCCAAATAGGACCGAAAAAAGTCCACCTCTCATGAAACCAACTCGGTGTGCACCTGTGCAGACTGTCCTACAGGTGGACGCAGAGCGAGGGCCGTGCTGTTCTGAACAGACACACCCACGGGCCCCGCTCCGTGGGGAGAGCCCAGAGACCCATCCCACATCCCCGCGACCCTCACACACACCCTCGGCCCCAATGGGCACTCGGCCTTTGCTGAGTTGAGAATAAATATGAAAGAAGCTCGCATGCTTAGCCTGAAGAGCTTTCTGACAGCCAGTTTCAGATTCTCCTTGAGTCTGTATGGGCTCAAAGGAGAACCTGAATCTCCGTTGATCTTCGAGCCCCCCCAGGTCCTGCAATCACGACTCCAGTTTGCCATGAGGCTGGGAGGGAATGGAAGTCACCCGACTCAGTGGCCTGCTGCCTCTCTTCAGGTGAGTGACTCATCCAAGGTCACACAGCTAGATGCTGACCGAGACCCTGGAGAGGTCAGAAAGTGACACAAGAAAGTCTCAGAATTGAACAACCGAGAAAGTGACCAGAGAGAGTCGTCGCTGGAGTGGAGGGTGCTTGGAGGAGGGAAGTGACGCTGTTTGGTGGGGTGGTCAGGGAAAAGCAACAGCAAAAAACAAATGAACAACGAGGAGACCCCACTGTCACCAGGTCCCTCCCACCCTCTCCTGCTCAGGGACATCAGTCCAGCATCACCAGCTCTCTGCGCTCTCCTCTGTGCGAAACTCCGAAGACCTGTCTAATCTCGAAATCTCCCCGCCCCTGCTTCCCTGCTGGCTCACACTCAGGGGTCTGTCCAAGTAGCTCTGGCCGGGATTGCCATGCGCTGCCTGGTTGCTGAGCTCCACGGGCTACTCTCGGCCCGGTCTGATGGGATCAGAAGTGAGGCGCTGTCTGTGAGTGGCTTTCTCAGGCCCTCCCTGCCTCACTGCGCACTCTGTCTGGGTCCCCTTTCCTGGACTCTCACTGCACCCCTAGATCCACGGAGGTCTGTCTGCTCCAGTGCCCTGGGTGAGCCCCCCAGCCTCTGCCTGTAGCTGCCATGATACCCCAATGCTCCTACACATGAGGGTCCTGCCTGGAGCCTGCCCTGACCTCTGGATCTGCACGTCCCTGGGGTTCCACACTGGGACTGCTTTGACAAAGCTGTGCCTTTGCTGAGCAGCCAGCTGGATTTCCAACTTGACAGGTTTCAAAGCAAATCCCTGCTTTTCTTCCCCACGTCCTTCGCTCTCAGGCTCTTTGAAGAAAACCCAAGTCCTTTTCTCATTTGCTTGGGCCAGGCTTTGGGCTCAGCCTTCTGCTCACACCCACACTCAGTGCGCCATGACTTCTGTGAGCTCTGCCTTCAGAATGGGTTAGGATGCCGCTTCTCACCTCTTCCCGGGCTCTGCACCTGCCCCAAGCCACCGCCATCCTCACCAAGGTGACCACTCTGGCCACCTCTCGGTCTCCTTAAGCCAGAGTGAGCCCGCAAAATATGAGTCAGAGGCCTCCACACCTCTGTTCCAGACCTCCAGTGGCTTTCCGTCATGCTCAGGTCAAGTCTCCGGGTGCGGCCAGCATGCATCTGCC